ATGAGCCTCACCAACTGCCAGTTTCCGCAGGAATCCAGGCTTTTGGAGAGTTTGAGTCGTTCGCAATCATTTCTTTCATATTTCGTAGTCCTATACAGAGGAAATTCCAAACTTTTATCAAGCCTTCCACAGGCCTAACAACCAACCACACAGCAAGAACGATCCATCTGCTTCACTAAATCCTCCTCAAAATGTAATAATAGTATCCCGCTTTCAGTATAATGATGCTTATGCTAACAACATTTCCCTAATTGCTTTAGAAATGCTCTTGGAACCATCCAAGGAACAGAAAAATCCATTTGACTCAAGATCCATTTGATCTCATTTCAACTCAGCATGTCTGGGATGTTCTGGACCAACAAGCCCGAACCATGGAGGATCCACTTGACAAATCCTTGGAGTGCAGAATCTGCAGCTGATGGGGCCAAAACCGTAACACAATAGCAGGTTGGTGGTCATAATGTTGTGGATGGCTGCAGTTTTCTCCAATTAGACAAAAAATAAATAAAAAAGCCGTTTGTGTGAGCTCCTCCAGGTTGTAGCAAAACAAGCTGAACTGGGTACGGTCTGATCCTGCTGCTCTTATAGACCCTTTTACTACCTACGTCATCAAAAGTTGCGCGCGCAGCCTGGCAACGAGAGTGAAGGCTTCCTCATTCACACTTAATACTAAAACAGCGTTTTAAACCCTTTGTTTTGAAGTTCTGAGCACATAAAAATGTCGGGTTGTTGCGTGTATGGATGCCAGAATCGCTTCTCTTCAAGCAGTGGACTGAAACTTTACAGAATTCCGAAGGGAGCACATCCATTTCAACAAAATCGGAGGCGTCTGTGGCTGCAGGCCATCAAAAGGGTTGATGAAAACTGGCCTGAAAACACGATCCGAAATGCTCGAGTTTGTAGCGCCCATTTTATATCAGGTAAGGTAATTATGTACTAAGATTACATATAAATTTATACGCTTTATTTCATGCTTCAAATTAACATTTCATTCTAATTCATCTGTATTTTCCCACTGCATATTAGTATAAACTGTATTTCTCTAAAATTAACATGATTGTACTCTGAGCACGCTAAAAAAAGAAACCTATGCTATACTCACCCTGCCATGCAGGTACAGTTGGCTGTGAAGACGTAGTTCTCTGGTTTGTTTACTATGACCCAAGCCTCGTACATAGCAGTCTTGTGTCCTTGTCTTTGGCTAGGAAGGACTTCTGCCTTCAAGATGCAAAACTCAGAGTCTATGTGGTGATATTTTACTTTCTGTACGTGGCCACAGACAACATAGTTGTATGCATCTAACGATTTGTATGCCCGTAGCTTCTCATGTGTGTACTTACTGGGCCTCTCCACTAAAAACGTATATATATATATATATATATATATATATATATATATATATATATATATCGGGCCACTGGATATCTGGCCACGCACCTACATCTTCCACCCATTCCGTAATGCCACAGGGATCCGGTGTTCTCTGTTGCCATTCGTTAAAGTGAGTTTAATAATATAACATTCAAGATTTGCCGGTGATAACCCCGCAGCGTAGCTTGATAAAGCCTGAAACAACGTCATTCTCTGTTGCCAAGCTGCGCGCGCATTCTCGCTGACGTCATATTGTTTACAAACAGTAAAAGGGTCTATAATTTGATGAGAAAGCTGCTGCATCTCTTTGTCAAGCTGAATTGTCACAAGATCAAGTTTTACTGACTGTAAGTGGGCATTTTCTGGTTCTGTTGTCCATCTGTAGAAGACAAATAACCGAGTGATGAAATAAGAGAAAAACAAGCCCGTTTTCATATGAATTAACAATGAAGATTCAGCGGCGCCACTCAAATTCACTTATTTGATCAAATTTCTCCAAGAGCACAATGCAAATAGCTGCATTTGTCCATGAGTTCGAGTGTGTTGGTGTGTTAGTCACTGCATCATGAGTGTGGAACTGGAGAGGTTCAACGAGTTTAAGCGCTGAGAGCTGAAAACAAACACACCAGAACAAAGTGATGATGCCTCCCGACAGTGACGGTTCAACAAATTCAACATTAAGGGTCAACAACCAATCCAGAAGCTACGCAACAAAAGTACCCACAAAAACAAAAACCAGAAGTACCATAGGATAACAGGCAGTCGTGGCTTGTCCATAGGAGGCGCTGGCCAACATACCAGTCTCACAGAAGGAGGAAGAAGAAGAAGATGGGAATCACAAAATAGTTAGAAAACCCATTGAAAATTGAACTAAACGATCTACACTTCATACCAGGGGTACTCAAATAAGTGGCCGAGGACCACATAAAAAAAATCCTGTGCAGAACTTTATCAAATCAGGATGTTTAACCGGAAGCTCTACACAGTCCACTTTGCTCCTGGACAGAAGGTGCCAGGTTAGCTGGCTGTGCCAACACTGGTGTTTGTTGGGTCTCTCCTGCCTCCTCTTTGAGATGCCTGGCACAGATCAAACCTGGATTCAGACAGGTATGACAGGCTTAAACCATAAGTGAAAACTCATATTTTTTCTTTAATTGAATCTTTTTAAATCGTGTGATGAACATGAATGTACTTTGGCATACTGAACATGAATGTACTTTAGCATACTGAACATGAATGTACTTTGGCATACTGAACATGAATGTACTTTGGCATACTGAACATGAATGTACTTTGGCATACTGAACATGAATGTACTTTGGCATACTGAACATGAATGTACTTTAGCATACTGAACATGAATGTACTTTAGCATACTGAACATGAATGTACTTTAGCATACTGAACATGAATGTACTTTAGCATACTGAACATGAATGTACTTTAGCATACTGAACATGAATGTACTTTAGCATACTGAACATGAATGTACTTTAGCATACTGAACATGAATGTACTTTGGCATACCTTATGGGTGAGATGTGGTTAGAGTGCTTCTGAAAACTGACTTGCAAAAATGCACCCCACCAAAAATTATTTCACCAGCTGCCACTGACTAAGGGGTAGCCAAGAAATATTCACATGTTCACAATAGGAAGACAGTGGATCAAACTCCATCTCCTCTTAAATAATAAAATACACAATTTCCCACAAAGCTTTCCACATTAAAAGCCCCTCAACAAACTTAAATTATCCATCCAAGTAGACACTGGACATGATGATCTGAAATCACATAAAACCACAGCTGAAAATTAATTTTAGGCCATCTCTCGCATTGTTCCCCTTGATTGTTCTTATTTTTAAATCAAGGATGTGAGAGAAAAATAGAGAGGATCAAACAGTTACTGAAGGTTGCATATGAGACACACCAAAAACAGTCAAGTGGTTAAAACCTGCTAATAACTGGTCATCTAAAACTAATCTGTTTCTTTCTTTTGTTGGTCCATGTACCCATCATCTCTACATAACACTCACAATAACAGATCTTCCATGTGAAAGTTGTTGCCTTCAGAATCAAAGGGTTATCACTCTATCCATCCATTCATTCATTCGCGGTCAGGTTGCGGGGGCAGCCACCTAGGCAGAGGCGCCCAGACTTCCCTCTCCCCAGGCACTTGGGCCAGCTCCACCGGGGGAATCCCAAGGTGTCCCCTGGCCAGCCAAGAGACATAGTCCCTCCAGCGTGCCCTGGGTCTTCCTTTAGGTCTCCTACTGGTTGGACGTGCCCAGAAAACCTCACCAGGGAGGCATCCAAGAGGCATCCTAACTAGATGCCCGAGCCACCTCAACTGGTGGGGGTGATGTGGAGGAGCAGCTCATCTACTCCCAGCCCCTCCCGGATGACAGAGCTTCTCTTTTGCGAAACAGATTTTAACAAAACCTAAAATGTGACTTATATATATATATATATATATATATATATATATATATATATATATATATATATATATATATATATATATATATAAATTAATTAATTAATTAAAAATTATATATATATCTAACCAAGTAACTGTTTACCCAGTGGAACAAATTAAAATTCTGATGCTGTGTCTAACAGTTCAGAGTTCAGTTAATAAAAGTTCTCAGTAAATAAAAAGAAACAAAATTGTTAGCCTGGTCTGCTCTGATTGGTCAGCTGAAGGTCAGAGGTCATACGGGCAAACATGAATGTCTAATGGTACCTACACATCAGGGTCAGTATGGTCTAGGGTTGCAACAAATATACATATTTGTTGTACGATTATAGTCTGAAAAATATTGTAAACAGCTCGTAAAAAGTATCTTTGTCTTTCTTTAGTTGTTTTGAAATGAGAAAAACTGACAACTCCCCAACCAGCAGAGAAGGAAATCTGTTTCAATGCAACCTTCCTTCCAACATTAGACTTTTGCAGATTATTTCACTGTTAAATTCTTACTGTACCCTTAAAGCAAGGCTGCAATTAGAACCAACCAGAACAGCAGCTCAAATGTGTAAATCCTAAGTAAAAAATAATCGCATGCATCCACTACAGAGGACAGAGGGCTTATTCTTGTGGTGTGATATTTTATTCTGTTCAGATGAGTTGCAATTTGTTATTTAGGGGAAATTAAATTTAATTTTCAAATGTATTACCGTTTTATAAGAAAGTTTAAAACTTTTGTCATTTTATTTAATTTTGAAGCGTTAAATATTCAAAACCCTTGCTTGTTTTTCATACTGCATTCTGAACAGTTTTGTTTTACGTTAAGAGAAAACGAGCAGCATGAGATGAGCTCTACCAACACAAATGCCTATTAGTGAAGTCAAAACTCCCACTGGTGCAAATCTACCTTAAATAATGTATGTTTCAGCATCAGCGGTCCCACATTCACTATAGAGCTACAATAGGCACAACATTCACTAAATTATCTGAACCATTTCATGGGAAGGAAAATCAAAAACAATCAAAATCAAAGTAAAAAAGATTCTACAGAAAAACAAATTTTAGAGAGGACAGTTGGTCTCAACTCGATTTCATCAGAATAAACGAGATTAAAACTATTAAGGTAGTTGATGCCAACATCTTACATCAGAGAGAGAAACTCACATGGATGCCGCGCAGCTTCTTTCGGTTCTGCTCGGCTCGGTTCAGCAGTCTTGGACCTCCACCAGCCAGCCGCAGCAGCTCATCGTCAGCAGACACAGTCTTCCTCAGAGCCACCCGTTCACCTGTTGCCCACACAGGTGTCCCTCTGCCCATCTCGCTCAGAGGGAGGCTCCTTCCCCCTCCACCTGGTTCTCTGGCTCCACCTCCGGCTGCCATCCCTGGAGGCAGATCAGGTGACCAGAAGTCCCGCAGCACTGAACCTGGAGGACAGAAACCGGAGACGACCATTTGTAGTTGCTACTTTAGTCTCCACAACACACGCACACACACACGCGCGCACACACACACACACACGCACGCACGCTCTCACACACGCTCACACACACACACACACGCACGCACGCTCTCACACACGCTCACACACACACACACACGCATACTTTTTGTATTTGTGGTAGTATTAACCATTGTGAAAACGTTTATGTTTTCTATGCTTATGCCACATATTCCTGGAGATGAAATCACCAACTGACATTTAGTGATGAATTATATTTGGTTACTTGGACAACTTAAATTAATGAATGTTAAAGTTCATAAACTTGAATAAACAAAAAAACTGTAATAATACATTTTGGGCCACAATGTAGGCAGTGGTGGACTCCTTTGTCACATCTTGTGAACATAATAACCTGCAGCTCAACATGGCAAAGAACAACAAACTGGATCTGGTCCAGGACACCAGGGATCATCGTTTCTCTGCAGGGGGTCGATACGGAATACAGCTGAGGACTACTTGGGAGTCCACCCAGAGTGGACTGAGAACACCAAATGCACCAGACAGAAAGTCACTCCTGCGCGTGGCCACCTCCATGTCTAACAGCCTTGTTTCACTGTTCTTTTTCACCACGTAGCTAAATAGAAAATAGCAGGTATTATACATGGACACTATTAGAACAGTTTTGTATTTTATGTTTTTCATAATAGAATTTTTTGTTCATCCTGAATGTTTGTGATGTTGTGTTTAAAGTGTGTGAAGCAACTGGGATAAAAATCAGCTCCTCTAAATCCGAGATCATGGTCTTGAGTCAGAAAAGGTTAGAATGCATTCTCCTGGTCAGGGACGAGGTCCTGCCTCCAGTGGAAGAGTTTAAGTATCTCGGGGAAGTTGGAGCATGAGATTGATAGGCGGATTGGCGCTTCGTCTGAGTGATGCGGGCGCTGAACGTCTGTCACTGTGAAGAGAGCTGAGCCAGAGGGCGAAGCTCTTGATTTACTGGTCGATCTACGTTCCTGCCCTCACCTGTGGTCACAAGCTTTGGGTAGTGACTGGAAGACGACACCGGATACAAACAGTCAAAATGAGTTTTCTTCGCAGGGCGGCTGGGCTCTCCCTTAGAGATAGAGTGAGAAGCTCGGTCATCCAAGAGGGGCTTGGAGTAGATCCGCAATTCCTTCACATCGAGAGGAGACAGTTGAGGTGGCTCGGGCATCTGGTTAGGACGCCTCCCTGGTGAGGTTTTCTGAGCACATCCAACCAAGTGAAGACCTAAAGGAAGACCCAGGTCACACTGGTGTCTCTCGTCCGGCCAGAGAACGCCTTAGGATTCTCCTGGAGGAGCTGACCCAAGTGGCTGAGGAGAGGGAAGTCTAGGCCTCTCCTTAGGCTGCTGCCCCCATGACCCGACCCCAGAATGGATGGATGTAAAAAGCATATTTGCCATAGGTACAAATAAAGTCTCTGATTTGATTTGATTTGTTAGATGTAAAAACATTTGTACTTTTTTTTATTTCACTTTTCTTATCTTTTAATGTCTGGAACAACTAACTGCACACAATTTCCTCTTGGATCAATACAGTATTTCTAATTCTGACCACCCCTCACACACAATCACACCTTTGATCCTTAACTCTTTTAAAGACCAGGTGTAATTTTTGACACCACATTTCCTTCCAACAGACATCAGCACTCGAGTGAGAGCCGTTTAGTTTCCACTGAGGCAGCCATTTCTCTCATTTACTGAAGCAAGTCATGCCTTCACGTCTTCATGATGTGAATGATCTTTATTTAGCTGTAAGCCAGTCTCTGCTCTCTCATCCACAACTCATCTAAAACCCCTGGCAGGCAAACATAACAAACAAGGTCACATCTCACCCATCTTGGCATCTTGGCACAGGCTCTTCTTACATTTCAGAATCCAGTTTAAGGTTTGGTTGTGTGTTTTCAAATCATTGAATGGAGTAGCTTCTTCCCAACTCATTTGTTTTAACCCTGCACATAGGTCTTCGAGGTCTGGTGGGCAGAAGCTCCTCGCCGTATGGAGGAGCAGATGAATGCTTACAGAAGGTTGGGTTTTTGTTGCTGACAGCCTGTCCTTTCACATTAAGAGCTCACCTACACTTGTATTGTTTGTCAGTCGAACCAGACAGAGTTGTCTTATCTTTACGTTATCTATTTTTATTTGTAGTCTTTTAAGTTGACAATTATTTTATTCCTTTTTATGTAGTTTGTGTATACAGCCCTGTGGTTAATAGCTGCTGTATTTAAATGTGTTAAACATGACTTGACTTGATATTAAGATAATACAGGGAGTGCAGAATTATTAGGCAAGTTGTATTTTTAAGGAATAATTTTATTATTGAACAACAACCATGTTCTCAATGAACCCAAACAACTCATTAATATCAAAGCTGAATGTTTTTGGAAGTATTTTAGTTTATTTTTAATTTTAGCTATTTTAGGGGGTATCTGTGTGTGCAGGTGACAATTACTGTGCATAATTATTAGGCAACTTAACAAAAAACAAATATATACCCATTTCAATTATTTATTTTTTACCAGTGAAACCAATATAACATCTCCACATTCAAAAACAATACAAAAACAAATCAACGACCAATATAGCCACCTTTCTTTGCAAGGACACTCAAAAGCCTGCCATCCATGGATTCCGTCAGTGTTTTGATCTGTTCACCATCAATATTGCGTGCAGCAGCAACCACAGCCTCCCAGACACTGTTCAGAGAGGTGTACGGTTTTCCCTCCTTGTAAATCTCACATTTGATGATGGACCACAGGCTCTCAATGGGGTTCAGATCAGGTGAACAAGGAGGCCATGTCATTAGTTTTTCTTCTTTTATACCCTTTCTTGCCAGCCACGCTGTGGAGTACTTGGACACGTGTGATGGAGCATTGTCCTGCATGAAAATCATGTTTTTCTTGAAGGATGCAGACTTCTTCCTGTACCACTGCTTGAAGAAGGTGTCTTCCAGAAACTGGCAGTAGGACTGGGAGTTGAGCTCGACTCCATCCTCAACCCAAAAAGGCCCCACAAGCTCATCTTTGATGATACCAGCCCAAACCAGTACTCCACCTCCACCTTGCTGGCGTCTGAGTCGGACTGGAGCTCTCTGCCCTTTACCAATCCAGCCACGGGCCCATCCATCTGGTCCATCAAGACTCACTCTCATTTCATCAGTCCATAAAACCTTAGAAAAATCAGTCTTGACATATTTCTTGGCCCAGTCTTGACGTTTCAGCTTGTGTGTCTTGTTCAGTGGTGGTTGTCTTTCAGCCTTTCTTACCTTGGCCATGTCTCTGAGTGTTGAACACCTTGTGCTTTTGGGCACTCCAGTGATGTTGCAGCTCTGAAATATGGCCAAACTGGTGGCAAGTGGCATCTTGGCAGCTGCACGCTTGACTTTTCTCAGTTCATGGGCAGTTATTTTGCACCTTAGTTTGTCCACACGCTTCTTGCGACCCTGTTGACTATTTTGAATGAAACGCTTGATTGTTCGATGATCATGCTTCAGAAGCTTTGCAATTTTAAGACTGCTGCATCCCTCTGCAAGATATCTCACTATATTTGACTTTTCTGAGCCTGTCAAGTCCTTCTTTTGACCCATTTTGCCAAAGGAAAGGAAGTTGCCTAATTATGCACACCTGATATAGAGTGTTGATGTCATTAGACCACACCCCTTCTCATTACAGAGATGCACATCACCTAATATGCTTAAATGGCAGTAGGCTTTCGAGCCTATACAGCTTGGAGTAAGACAACATGCATGAAGAGGATGATGTGGACAAAATACTCATTTGCCTAATAATTCTGCACTCCCTGTAATATAGATCATAGATACTTGTTCTTTATAAAGCATATTTTGTTTTTAAACTGAACCACAAACACAAATTTTACTAAAAAGCAAACTAGTGAACACATACAGTACCTTAAGTTGCAATGGCAAATTTGAAAAACAAATGAGCTTAAAAAAATTTCCATGTCACTTAACTTTCATACCATACATATAGCTATACATATATTGCAAATATATATTTTTAATTATTAAAGTGGTTCTCTTGCATTTCTCTAAAATCCACCACCAATAACATGTTTCAGACCAAAAGCAAATATTGGACCATCCATTTGTCAGTCATGTAGAACCACTGCACTTTCCTGGGTCCTCCACTAATTACACACTCACGTATGTAGCAACACTACTGGTGTGAGAGCTTCTCTGCTCAATAACATCAAAGAAGGAGAAACAGCCAGCTGCTGCCACCCAGAGTCCCAAAAAGAAAAACACCATTTGAAATCTTGGACAACAAAAGACGTTTGGACCTAGAAAACAGCAACTGGTGTTTAGCACCATCTGGTTCCCTCTGGCAATCTAGTTCTGGCAGAAGAGCCTCGGGGAAGATACTCAAGTGGAGGGGTGAGTGTTCCGTATGTTCGCGTTCAAACCTAGCTTGTTTGCAGATTTGCTATAGCAGCTTTAAAGCTTTAATAAATATAGCAGACATTATGCTAATAATAGGCTCAAATGTATTTTCAAAAGAGGGAATTTGAATTGTTTCTTTAATCAACGGAAATCTACAAGTACCTTTTCTATCATGTTAAAAAGATTTACCGATACTTTTCTACAAAACAATATTTATTTGTTCCTTAAAGAGTTCATTAGCAAAATTAGATAAAACCCATTTTTGATCAAAAGCCAACCTTTATTTTGACTGAAATCACCTGAAGTAAAAAGGTGAAAAGATGCATTTTTTGAAAATGTTTACAGTACAACTGAGTCATCGGTTTTTGCAACTGAACTATTTATACAGTATTTTAGGTTTTGTACAGCACAAATATATTTGCATTTCAAAATTTAAAATCAAATGTTTAAAGCCTGCGAGACCTTAGTGATTTTGGTCGTGATCTCAGTTTGGACACCACTGACCTTAAAATAATCTTTAAGAGAGAAGTTTTCTTCTAGGATATAATTTCAGAGTCTGATTAAGTATTAAATGCACAAAGAAAGTAGATAAAAATGGTTTTGTGGGTGAAATTTTAAAAAGCTTCAAATTAAGAGTCTGTCTTGCTTCATAGGATTTGTGTCATCATGCTCCTTAGGTGAGCTGGTTTCATGTTTTCCTTCATTCAGCAAGAGTGTGCGTGCGTATGTCTGTCTCAGGTGTCACCTAGTGACCATCTGAGCTGCTGCTGCATTAAAACTGCATGAGGACAGATTAAACAGAGGAAGCTTCATGAATGTGTTTTCATGAGAGGAACCTGATGCAGGTGAAACATTTCAAATGCAATTTAAAATAATCTCAGTTAAAGTGTCTTTCTGGAGTTTTCCCCCTTCAGATATTATGTATGATTTTTCAGAAATCCATAAATGTGATTGTTTTAAGTACTGATATAATGTAAGCACACCCCCTGCCTCACAGAGCTCCGTGCAATTGGAAGCTGAGCGCCGACCAGAACCAACCAATAGCAATAAACTCCTGCTTACATGCTTCAAATTTAAGGAATACCTCGGATGATGCAGAGTTGATCAACTTTTCACTGACAAGTCTTTAAAATATAAATACATAAGAACACACCATGGCATGAGAATACGTGTAAAACAACATGTTTTAGCGCCATTTGTCAGCTACAGAAGGACATTTATAAACAAGAAACGTAAAGTCGCCATCTTAACAAAACGGATCGACAGACTTTTTGTGTGATATGCTTGTCAGCCACTAGATGGTGCCATTGGATAAAAGAAATACTCCGGAGACAGACTAAACAAGAAAATAATATATGTGCTTTAGAATGTAGGTTTACTGTAGCTAACTTTCTCTCAAACAGAGTTTAAACTGTAAATAAAATTACTTCAGAATAAGAGTTTGACAAGAAGGACCTCAAAAATAAACGTTCAGTGTTTGAAGAATAAAATTATGTTCCATAATAGTTTACCGAGTTCAAGTTTTCAATAAAATCTGAGAATAAAACATTAGCCCACATTCAGCTCCTTCAACACGAGACTCTATCTGATTAACAGAGAGGGGGAATCTCAAGAGTACAGTAGTCCTAAAGGAAAACTAAGCAGTTTTGCATGCTTTTACTGCCCCTTGGTGTCCGTTATTAATTATCTGCGGTCAAACCGAAAATAAAACTCCCCTCCTTGCTGTTTGTTCACCTTTGTAACACCTTAATCTAACAGCTGAAATGTCTCCCCAGCCTTCATTAGTTTCTACAGAATCAGTTCATCACTAAATCAAACAAATCAGCTGTGTTCATGATCCTAAACTTGCTGGAAGCAGACTGCAGCACCAGGTATGTCAGTCCAATTTTTCACAGTCACAGTGGAATTTTTCCCACAGGTGGTAACCTGCCACTCTGAAGTTGCAAGCGTCATATTCTGGCCAGAGGGCAGTGGGGGTCTGAGAGACATTTAATTAACCATGTAAAGGCTCATTTTAGCCCATACTGACTCAAGAAAAGGATTTAAAAACATGAAAAAGTAGCGAAGTATCCATTTAAATATGTTTTCTGCTGAACATGGGATCAGTCATGTGACCCACAACTGTTTTCCAGGAGCTGTGTTTATTGAGCATCAACTCTATGTTTTAGAAGCAAATGCTGAGCTGATAAGAGCAGAATGATGGGAATAAACTGTAACGTTAATAGAAATGAACCATGTTAGTAAATCTTGAGTGGTCTCCTCTTGCCCTGATACATCTGACAGACAGCAGAGGGCACTAAAGAGTTGTAGATATGACCATAAAAGGTGATATATCTCCACACCAGTTTATATGAAGCACAGCTTCAGGTTCTCACATTTCACAAAAATTTTAATGGCTGCCTGAATAGAGACAAACTGCTTTGAGTTTCAGACCCATAATAAAGCATCTGTCGATGTTAGTTTTTTATCTGATGGAACATGAGGATTCCCTCCAGCATGCATGTGTGATGTGGCTCACGTTTGTAAAGCTGATATGAGTGATCACCAGCTGCTCCTGCTGAGGCAGATCTATGAATGTTTAATGAGGAGGAAATCTGCCTGAAAGCACTAAAAGCACACACAGGTTTGAGCCTCATGAAAAGTAAAAATCTAATGAAGAGAGAATGTTGTAAACATCTCGGAAATCCATCCTGCTGCTGAACAACAAGCGCCTAGTAGAAGGAATAAAAAAGCTTAGGAAGGATGCATATCTCTGGTCCTGCTTCAGATCGGTCATGGATTTCAGGCCTGATATTCATCATTTTCCTTCCGCTAGTTTAGTTATCTTTGAACATCAGCCTGAACCGGATGGAAACTCAGCCAGAAGCAGCCAAATTTAAATAAAATTACCCTGAAAGACCTTTAGAAGTTCTACAGGACCGTTGGTGGCCAGCTGGAATTCCAACACCAAAACAGAACTTTGATCACACCCATTTCTTTAAAATTCTTCACAAACTTAATAATTTGTTTATTTTTCTAAAGCTCCATTTCTAAAACATGAGGTTCTGATGCAGATTTTACCTTGGAGCTTTCTGAGGAATGTTCCATCCAGCTTTTACTCCTGCATGAAACTGCTGCTTTCACAGTTGTGCGTTTGCATTTCATACTGTGCAACCATGGTAACCAAGGTCTTAAGCTTAAGCCAGGGCATAAAAACTTGCTCATATCTGACCACTGAATAATGTGAGATGCTTGATAAAAGATGTGAGATGTCTGAGCGCCAGAGCCAACAAAGTGAAAGTGGCGTTGGTGAGAAGAGAAAAACCGCTTCAGCAGGGATCTGATTTTACCCGAGCAGAGTTTAAACCCTGCAGCGGGATCCATCAGAGATCAGTGCTACTCAAAAGCATTTTCATCTGATGAAAGGAACACCATCAGTCCTCAGGTCTGACAGAACTACAGCACCCCCTGCTGGTCAGAAGCGAAGCTTATCCAGGCCAGATGTCTGGTTACGGATTTGTTCGTGTGTTCAGATATTAAGTTTGAACTTGGAAAATAAATGCACCGCTGTTTAAAAAGTAAGGACCAAGACTAAACAAATGGTTGAAAACATTTAAATAACAAAAATATGAAGTTAAATTGCTGCAGTAAAAGTGGCGTGAAGGTAAAATCAGACACCACCTGATCAGAACACATAAATAGTTCCACTGAAAGCGTGCTGAAGAGCAGTGATCGAGGCTGAGCTGAATGAGACACCTGATGTTCATCTGAGGGAGGAGAGAAGTTTTAATCTGCTCCACAGGAAGCCCATTATCATTCTCATGAAGGGTGGAGCCAAAGAGCAGAGCGACTCCCACAGGAAGTGGAGCCTCCTCAGAGGATACATCAGCAGCAGACGGAGCATTTGCATCTGAGTGTCTCTGACAGTAAATCACGTCCACAAATTCACACAGACCCTTATCGTGTCCCTTTCATGTAACAAACCAGGATAAAAGCCTCTCAAGAAGAGGATGGCCTTTTGGGATTCAGATTCAGCGACAAACATGAAACGTCTGTTGGTTTGCACTGATGTGGCTAAGCAGGACAGAGTGACCACCGGGGCTTAAATCCTCTCAATGACAGTAGAAACGGTCCTTCAAAACACAACCAGATGTTCCACTGTCAGCTGATTATTCTGGACCATGTCCATTTTTAAACAGAAGTTGTGTTTGCTGGCAGCTTTCTGGGTTCTGGTTTGGACTTTTCTTCCTAGTTTTATTTTTGTAAACAGTCTCTTCTTTGTCACATTTTGCTTTTGCAACCATGCTTTCATTTAGTCTTGAAGTAAACAAACTACTTAAAAACAAGATTCAGAGCAGGTTAACAAAACTTTGGTGTACGCTCTACCTGTAGAGTTCCAGTGGAGTCCTCCAGGGCTGGCAGCAAGCCGCCGTCGTTTCCTGATGCTGACGCCACTGTGGGAGGCGGAGTCTCCTGTTGGCGGCTGTGAGCTTGGCTCTGAAGCAGCAGCAGGTGTGGAGGAGAGAACGGGCAGCAGCGGTGTGGACAGAAAGGTCACCTCCTTTCCTAAAGCGGGTGTGAGGCAGGTGGACTCTTGCTCTGATGACCTGAAGGGAACAATCACAGCGTCAGAGGTCGAAGTTCAGTCGAGAGAGAATTGCAGCAGAGGTGCAACTTAATTTTAGCAGCACCTCTCAGCTGTTTATGTACAACAGTACATCACACACATCCTGAAAGAATCGAACATTCAAATAACAGATGTGCTGAGGTTTCTCTGTGCGACACAAGGATTTTTGTAAACAGTTAATAAAAAAAATGCATAACAGGAAAAGTTTGCAGAAACAATCATATCTGCATGCTTGATATGATGTTTCTGGCTGCTACAGAAAACATTTTTTGCTATAAGTAGCTCAGCTTACAGTTTCTGTGATCACACCTAGAACATGGTGGTTAATTCAGCTTAAACCTGACACAAGGAAACCAGCGAGACTCCAGCTACAGCAGGCCAGAAAGCCACCCGTTTGACCTGGTACCTGTCCTCTGAGACAACGTAGCTGCGACTTCGCCATGATCCTCTGGACTGATGTCTTTTATTTTGTACCCTTCTCAACACAAAATGCTGCAGCTCAGTCCAGCTCAGCATCTCAGTGTAACACCACTCACAGCATCACATCTGCAGCATGTTAAAGCACAACCTCCATCAGGACCCTCTGAAGCCTCCATCGACATTTCTGATGAAGGATCAGACCAAAGGTTTGTAAAGGTGTGTCTGGATTCCAGTATGAAAGGTAATCAGACGAAAGCAATGAGGTCCAGAGCTGAAGGAGCGCTGCTCTCAGGTGTTCAGATGGTGGTGTTACCTTACAGTCCAGTGTGTGTGTGTGTGTGTGTGTGTGTGTGTGTGTGTGTGTGAGTGTGTGTTGAAATGAGTCAAGAGCTTCACATACCACATTTTATCAGACAGGGCTTTAATGAATGGAAAGTTAGAGGCAGATAAAAACTGGAATCAAAGGGCAGGGTCAAAGGTCAGAGTATTTAAAGTTATTATTTTTATCTGTTTTCACCTTATTTTTCCAGAGTCATTTTGTTCAGCAGAGAAGGAGCAGCAAGAAAACAAAAAATGAGCCAATTTCAAAAACGTTTAGTCAAAATATTATACAAAATGTCCAAATGTTGTGACCGTGACTTTTGACTCTCACTGGAGCGGTTCACAGAAAAGTGTAAAGCAGCTGGGATGAGAATCCTCTAAATCCGAGACCATGGTCTTGAGTAAGAAAAGGTTAGAATGCCTACTCCAGGTCAGGGATGAGGTCGCCAGGTGGCTCAACGCAGGGATGGGATGGGGAGGCGTTTAAGTATCTCGGGGTTTTGTTCACGAGTGAGGGAAAGATGCAGCGTGAGATCGACATATGGATTGGTGCTGCATCTGTAGAGATGCGATCTGTCGTGGTGAAGAGAGAGCCGAGTCAGAAGACAAAGCTCTCGATTTACTGGTCGATCTACATTTCTACCCTCACCTATGGTCATGAGCTTTGGGTGGTGACTGAAAGAACGAGATCACAGATACAAGCGGCTAGATTGAGTTTTCTCCGCAGGGTGGCTGGGCTCTCCCTTAGAGAAAGGTTATGAAGGTTGTGAAGCCCGGGAGGGGCTCGGAGTAGATCCACTGCTGCTCCACATCGAGAGGAGCCAGTTGAGGTGGCTCGGGCACCTGGTCAGGATGCTTCCTGGATGCCTCCCTGGTGAGGTTGTCCGAGTACCGTATTTTCCGGACTATAAGCCGCTACTTTTTCCCACACTTCGAACCATGTGGATTATAATGAGGTGCGGCTTTAGTCAACCAGAAAGGATGGATGCTGGAAAGTCTAATGAAGGAATGTTAAAGGAGTGCTACAGAAAGCGCCCAGGAGGATTTTTTTTCACAGTAAAATGGCGCTGCTTGTTTTCCCAGCTTCACCCTGGGATGATGACGGCAACACGGAGAGACACTGACATCGCCACAGAAAAGGTGTGTGACGAAGCTCTTCTGAGGCTGTTCAACTCCGACACTGAAGAAGATGATGACTTCAGTGATTTCAGTGCACAGGAGGACGATGAATAAACTAATCAATAACTTTTCTGTTTTGTTTGATAATGATCAGTTCAGTTACGTTCGGTTAAACTACGTTTTCAATTCAGTAGATATCTGCGGCTTTTAGCCCGGTGTGGCTTATATTGAGGTGCGCTCTATAGTCCGGAAATTACGGTACATTCAGCCGGGGGAAGACCTAGAGGAAGACCCAGGACTGAAGAGACTATGGCTTCCCTGCTTAGGTTGCTGCCCCCGCGACACGACCCCAGATAAGTAAAGTAAGTAAGTAAAGTAAAAGTATTTATAGAGCGCCTTTCACAGATAAAAATCACAAAGCGCTGTACAACATGATAAAGATCAGGGCAAATACCTCTAACCAATAAAAACATCAGAAAAACAATAGCAGTGATAAACGTAGAAAATAAAATCATGAGTATAAACAAAGTGAAGGTGTGAACCCGAACAAAGCCACCATTCTGAAACATTTAGGGAGGGAACGCCTGGATGAAAAGGTGAGTTTTTAGATGATTTTTAAAGACCTCTACAGTGTTAGAGAGACAGAGATTTGAAGGTAGACTCTTCCAAAGTCTGGGTGCAATAGTCTGAAAGGCCCTGTCCCCTTTGGTTTTCAGTCTGGTTCGAGGAACAGCCAGGAGGTTTTCAGATGTGGATCTAAGGTTCCGAGAGGTGGTGTGTGTGGATAAAAGCTCAGATAGGTAGCTTGGAGCCTGGTTGTTAAGAGCTCTATAGGTCAGGACTAAAACTTTAAACTGAATTCTATATTCTACCGGGAGCCAGTGGAGGGACTGTAAAACTGGAGTGATGTGAGCTTGTCTGCTAGATTTGGTAAAGAGTCTGGCTGCTGCATTTTGGATAGCTTGAAGGGAGGTTTTGCTGAGACCAGTAAAAAGAGCGTTACAGTAGTCTAAGCGTGATGACACAAAGGCATGGATTATTTTTTCCAGATCTGCAGTAGAAACCAGTTTACGGACTTTTGAAATGTTTCTCAGTTGAAAGAAACAAGAGCGGGAGATGGTTTTGACGTGTGAGTCTAAACTTAAAGCTGGATCAAAAATAACTCCTAGGTTTCTAATGTTGGCCTTGGCTGATGGGCAAAAAGAGGCAATTTCTTGCTCGATTTTTGGCTGAAGTTCCGGGGGTGCAGTGATCAGGGTCTCTGTCTTGTTAGCATTTAAGACAAGAAAGTTGCTGGACAGCCAGTTACTGATCTGGGTCAGGCAGAGCACAAGGGTGGCCAGCCTGTCCAACTGGTGTGGCATAAAGGACATATAGAGCTGAATATCATCAGCGTAGATGTGGTAGGAGATGTCTGGGAAAGACTGAATGATGCCAGCTAGGGGAAGAATATAGAATGCAAATAGTAGAGGCCCTAGAACTGAACCTTGTGGGACCCCGCATGTTAGAGAGGCAGTATCTGAAGAGAAGGTTTCGGACTTCACTGTGAATGTTCTGTTGGTGAGATAGGAAGAGAGCCAGTCTAGAGCAGAACCTGAAATCCCAGCCAGGGCATTTAACCTGTTTAGTAGTATGTTGTGGTGGAAGTGGAAGAGAATGAATAGATGGAAAAATGTTTTTTATTATTTAGGTTCTTAACACTTTAAAATAAGTTTGGTGGCTGGACTACATTTTCGATTTTAATTTAGAACTGATACATTTAAGGCTGCATGTTGCCACAGTCGTTAGCACCGTTTCCTTGCAGCCAGAAGCTCACAGGATTGAATCCCAGTTGTGACCTTTCTGCATGGCATTAGCATGTTCTCATGCATGCATGCATGAGTTTTTTTTTCTGGGAACTCTGATTTTCTCCCAGACAAAAACATGCATGTCAGTAGGTGTTAGTGGCTCTAAATTGTCCCTATAGGGGAGACTCTGTGTGTGTGTGTGTGTGTGTGTGTGTGTGTGTGTGTGTGTGTGTGTGTGTGTGTGTGTGTGTGTGTGTGTGTGTGTGTGTGTGTGTGTGTGTGTGTGTGTGTGTGTGTGTGTGTGTGTGTGTGTGTGTGTGTGTGTGTGTGTGTGTGTGTGTGTGTGTGTGTGTGTGTGTCCCTGTGATGGACTGCTCAAGACTGAGGATAAGCTTATGAAACTCAGGATCTAACTGGTCCACTCAGACATTAGTCTAACATCATCACAAATGCTCTGTTTTATGCTAAAAGTCCAAACTTTCACAAAACCAGTCTGAGGGTTTAGCTCACTCAAATCTATAATTAGCTGCGATAGTTACACACGAACCTTCAGGACAACATGATGAACAGCACGAACAACGAGGAACTGACTGAGCTCATTTGGCTGAACAAATGCTTTTATGGTGTTTTTCCTGTGACTAGACAAGCAAAATGGAAGGAGGAGGGAATTGTTCAGTGGCAGAAATGTTCCACGTTCATCAGTTCCCCGTGGAGGTTATTTTTTAAATTAAAAACATCCAAGTCCTCCCGTGTCATTCTGAAAAACATCTGTCGGGAATCCTGCCAGGAATTAAACTCTCATGATGTAGTCATTTAAAGATGCTTGTTTTATTATGTGTTCAGAGTTTTCTCCCAAATGTAAAATAAAACAGTTTGTTTCATCCATGCTTTCGTTCTTTTTTAAACACAGAAACAGTTTTGTTTACCTGTTTGTAGCTACGGTTTCGCCGACAACTGCCGGCTTCTTCAGGCTGACGCTGATGGTGGCGCGTCACTTCCTTCTCCGTTTATCTGCGGACAGCAGAGGACGTTGTCGCCCTCTACTGCCCGCTCTCCCCTCTCCGACGATGCAGTCCCATGCGTGGTCCAGCGTGTAAACTCCGTCGTCCCTGTTCATGGTCCCACATCCACGTCTCCTTATCTCGATTGCTTCCTTGATCCATCTTTTGTATTTTTGTTGTTCAGTGGTTATGATCCGTGTGCTGTCCCAGTCCATTATATGGTTTTCTCTTAAGCAATGTTCTGTTACGGCTGACTTTTTTATTGTACTTTCTGCTTCTTCTTTTGCTGCTCTTGTGTGTTTACGATTTGCCTCTTTCTCGCACTCCTTTCTGTGTTCTATTGTCCGTGTATTGAGTTGGCGTCCGGTTTCTCCTATGTATGTTTGCTGCCCGCAGATAAACGGAGAAGGAAGTGACGCGCCACCATCAGCGTCAGCCTGAAGAAGCCGGCAGTTGTCGGCGAAACCGTAGCTATAAACAGGTAAACAAAACTGTTTCTGTGTTTAAAAAAGAACGAAAGCATGGATTTACAAAGACACAGCAAGAACACACCTAAGAAGTTTGTTTCATATCTGGCATTTTACCGAGACACGAGAATGAACATTAAGCTATGATTTGATGTCCTGACATCGGCCTCCTCCAGAGCAGCAGCGTTAAACAGAACCAAGAAGCACAATTTTATGGTTGGAAAAAATAATAATAAGGTATTTTGGCTAACTGAGATACTCAGAATCCGTAAAACTCGAAGCTGCATGGATGCAGAAAAATGTTAGTTTGTGCATCTTGTGTTAAAAACAGCTGAGTCCAAAACAAAGTCTGTTGGTTCCAACCGCACTGAAGAACTAAGGTTAAAGCCTGCATGGACGTAAGTTTTACTTTAGAAGTGCAGGGAACACGGGGGTGGGGCGGTGGTGGGGGGTATCTTTACAGTATGTTCTAATGGGAAACAGGCTTCAACACAAACGGTTGTTTTCCACTTGGTCCTAGAGCTCAACCAGTGTTAATTTAATATAAAGTAATATTGTTTTTGGATGGTAAAAAGTGCAGGGGTCAAAACTTGACTTTGGAAAAAGTGGGGGGGACATGTCCCCCCCTGTCCCCCCCAAAAAAAATTACGTCCATGAAAGCCTGCCACTGATTAATGATAAATGATGAATGGCCTGCACTTGTTTAATGCTTTTCTCAGTCAGAGACTGCAAGGTACTTTACACTCCAGTAAGCATTCATCCATTCACATGTTCACACACTGATGAGCTAGCCACAGCTGCCCTGGGACACACCAGTAGAGGCGAGGCTACTGAACACAAGTGCCACTGATCCCTCCAACCAAAACCAGGTAAGAGGGTGAAGTGTCTTGTCCAAGGACCCAATGGCAGAATCCTCTGGATGGAGCTGGGATCTATCCAGCAACTCTATCACTGGACAACCCTCTACCTCCTGAGCTGCTGCTGTCCCTACAACTAATCATTGTATTATAGCAAAACTTGGTTAAACCAACTTGAGAAAACTAAGAGTTGGTTCAAATTCCACAAAAACTATTTCTTACAAGGGTTGACTGTATACTTTGTGAAAAACATTTGAGAATGAAGCATTTTCAGAACACACCTGCCATCATCGCCTGATGCCAATAAACAAATGCAACTACAACTCATTATTCTTATTTCTCAGACGAAAAAAATAAGAGACCAGTCAAAATATGTTCAACTTACCTCAAAGACAACAATCCCAGAAAGTAAATAAATCGATCAGCCCCATCAGGAAATCGGTTGTGAAATGTTAAAAGACAAACTGGATTTACCTGAGGAGTGTGCCGAGCTCTCCCGGTTCGCTGCAGGTGGAGAAGCGGGAGTCGAGGGTCGGAGAGGAAGAGGAGGACATGGGAAGCGAGGTAGAGGAGAGGTTGGATGCAAGTGAAGAGGACAGGGTGGAGGAAGATGAGCACATGAGGATGGAGTCCAGCGGTCTGGACAGAAGCAGAGAGGACGGCATGCACAGCCATGTCTCCAGGTCTGAGAACTTGGAGTAACTCAGCATCTCCAGAACGCTGCAGGACAGGAAGAAGACAGCAAGAACCATCAGTGAGCATCTCTGATTCTTTATGTCTGATGTCTCTGCTCAGACCACAGTTACCTCTCCTCTCCCACTCCTGGGAGCTCTTCCTTCTCGTCTGCTGTCTGAAAGATGCAGGAAGTCCTGGAGTCACGTGACGACAGCAGAACACATGAGTTTTCAGAGTCCACAGACATCTTAAGCCATATCTGTAACCACGAAGAGACAGGGACACATTAGCAGACTGTCCTAACCCGTCAACGCAGGAATGGGATGGGGAGGCGCGTGCGCGTGATCTGTAGCTCTAAACTGTGCGTGTTTAATTAGTAAAGAATCCCACCTACAGCCGTCACCTGTGGACAGGCTCGCGCTCAGGTGTGAACGCTTCTTTAGCGGAAAACCCGCAGCTGGGCGGCCACACGTGGCTGCTGTTGTGGTAATTAATCAGCCGGTGGGAGGAAGTACAAAGTAAAGCTGGGAGTTTGTCAGCAGCACGTCAGACCTGAATCCTACAGCTGTTCCTCAGCTGACGGGAGTCCAAACCCAAACCTTACCTTCTATCTCCTCCTTCCTCTGCAAAATCTGTCGCTTTTTCTCTTTTTGTCTTCGTTCTTCCAGAGCAGAAACATCTGCTCAGACTGTGCTCCCGCCTGGAAACGTGTCTTTGTCCTGGCTCATGTAAAACATCCCAAAATACAGCCAGCAGGCCGGAGCAGGATCACATTTCACTGCGGTTTACTGAGCGAGTCCCACATCTGGGGGCGCCCAAGCCTCGGGTCGGTTCCGACTCTAACTCCGCTTTCATTGGACAGTCAGCAGCGCAGAGCAGGGGGAGGAAGGAGGGCCCGAGCCCCGTGCTCCTCCGGTTGAAGGAGGGACAGAGAAGAAAGGAAGCGACAAGAGTCAGTCATGAGGAAAAGTAAACACGAGGGATAATGTAAAAAGTGGCAAAAACTTAAAAGAAGAGACGTAGAAAGTTGGAAACCATTGAGCAAACAAGGGATGGAACAAATTAGATCTTCAAACGAGGAAATGAGGAGAGAACAGTAGGAGAAAGGGAAGAAACGATAAGAATGAGTGTGAGCCAGGAAACTGTTCTCTTTTAAAGAAGATTTAAGTTTGTAAAGTTATTTCGAGTAAATATACAACTGGGGAATCGGGAGGTATTTTCCAGAACGATGTTGTCAGTAGAGACGTCTCTGAGAGATAAGTTCTAGCAGGAAAAAGGCTGTTTATGAGCTGTAATTAGCTCCAAAACACTCAGTATGTCACAGAGGAGTCCTGCCATCAGGCTAGGTCCAGGCTGCAGCTGAAGCTACCACACAAAAAGGTGTTAAATCAGAAGATAAGCAGCTATTTAAAACTACCCTGTTCAACAATGTGTCTATAACAATAGGTCCTCAAAACAAACAGAGATAGGACAGAAAGAAAACAATAGTTCATATTGCGTCTCTAAAAGAGGCGCTTCATAAGAACAAAAACAGGCCTAATAATAATAAATATATTTGAAAAATTATTCAGCAATTTCTTAAAAACGAGAGAAGAAATTCTGATAAAAATGTGAAGAAAGAGAAAAAATGAAAAAGAAAGAGGTAATCTGTTGTCTTGTCACCTTTGGTTTTTAGCCTGGTGCTGCACAACCAGTAGGCTTTGGTCACTGGCCCTCAGAGACCTGCTGGGGGTGTAGGGACTAAGAAGATGCTTGTCCATGTAAGGCCCTATAGACCAGAACCAGGATCTTGAAATGAACCCTGAAGTTGACTGGCAGCCAGTGAAGCTGGAGGAGAAGCGGGGTGATGTGGGTGTGTTTGGAGGACTTGGTCAGAAGCCGAGCACAGGCATTCTGAACCACCTGTAGACGGTTCAGGGAGGCTCTGCTCAGACGCGTGAAAAGAGAGTTACAGTAGTCTAAGCGTGAGGAGATGAAGGTGAGGATAACTGTCTCAAGTTCAGAGCGGGACAGAATGGGACTCAGCTTAGCAATGTTCCTGAGATGGAAGAAGGAAGAGCGAAGAAGAGAACTGACATGAGAATCCAGGGTGAGAGCTGGGTCAGAGGTCACACCAAGATTCCTGACGGAGGGTTTGGTGTGAGAGCAAGCAAGAGAGTCTCTGACTGGCAACCAGCTTGTCTGGGGCACAGATGAGGATCTCAGTCTCATCTTCATTCAGCTGAAGAAAGCTCCCAGCCATCCAGGTTTTAAAAGAGTCTAAGCAGGTGTGTAACCGCTGCAGCTTAGACATCTCATGGAGATTGAAGGAGATTCCATTGCTAGGTTCTTTCCTAAACACAAGGTAGTAAATATTTGTTTTTACTTTTCAAGCTGACAAGTTTCAGCTAAAGCTCTAGCCTTCCTCAGAGCACCACAGGTGTTGGTAGCTGCACTTACTTCTCCATCTATCTGAGGGCAGCAGAGGACAATGTCGCCCTCTCCTGCCCGCGCCCTCCTTGTAAATGAGAATAGGGAGCCTAAGTCACTTCCGCATCATGGGTCCCCGTAAGAACACAAAATTGAATGCAAGTCAATGGGGCTAAAAACGCTATTTTCTAATCTGCTCTGCCTTACGCCCTGGGTCACACATATGTTGTACTGCAATCACATACTTTGAGATTTGTCAGCTTGTAAAAGTTCGTAATTAGCATGACTACAAACTAGAAATTGGCACGTCGCATATGTGACGTCACCACATAATTTTCTCTCCCCTAAGTAGCTGCTTCTTACCAACTGACCAGATTTATGGTGGTTCTTTCCTCCTGTGGGAGGTTTGCTGAACTTACAGCCATTTTCCCTCAGTTTTTCTGTGTCTGGTTCGATGACTTCACTTTTGTGGAGCGCATTTGTCCTGGACTTATTTTCACACAAAATCTAAAATATCCTTACCCCCGTTCGAAAATATGCACGTTCTTGGTATCAAAATGTGTCTTTACAATTCATGGACATCATATGTGAAATCCATGGCACAAAACAAGCAGAATTAGAAAATAGCGTTTTTAGCCCCATTGACTTGCATTCATTTTATCATTCTGCAGGGACCCATGGTGCGGAAGTGACTTAGGCCCCCAATGTCCCAGGAGCAATCCAGTGTGTAGACTCCATCATCTCTGTTCATGGTTTTGTGTCCATGTCTCCTTATTTCTATGGCTTCTTTAATCCACCATTTGTATTTTTGTTGTTCGGTGTTTATGTTATTAATCTTTATATGATTCTCCCTTGTGCAGTGGCCCGTTAAGGCTGATTTCTTTATTGTACTTTCTGCTCCTTGTTTTGCTGCTCTTGTGTAGCTTTGACTTGTTTCTTTCTCACACTCTTTTCTATGTTCAATTATTCGCTGTGGTCAGATCGTGTTTTTATCAGCTGCGCAGACTAGTTCGCTTAAAACCGATCCTGAAACGAGCACACCTGGAATCCGTAATTCATGCTTTTATCATCTCCCGACTGGATTATGCAAATCCCATTTTAGGGTCAGCAGCACACTGTCCCCACTATAGATAGTGTTGGTAGCGCACTGCTTTCCCCCCTGAGGCACCGGATGGTGGACCAGAATCTCCTCGAAGCCGTACGGAAGTCTTGCTCCATGGTCTCACCGAACTCCTCCCATGCCCGGGTGTTTGCCTTGGCGACCACCCGAGCCATGTTCCGCTTGGACTGCCGGTACCCGTCAGCTGCCTCTGGAGTCCCACAGGCCAAAAAGACCTGATAGGACTCTTTCTTCAGCTTGACAGCATCCCTAACCGCCGGTGTCCACCAGCAGGTTTGGGGGTTGCCACCACGACAGGCACTGACGATCCTGTGACCACAGCTCTGGTCGGCCGCCTCAACAATGGAGGCACGAAACAGGGTCCATTCAGACTCAATGTCCCCCGCCTCCCCCGGAACATTTTGGAAGTTCTGTCGGAGGTGGGAATTGAAGCTCCTTCTGACAGGAGACTCTGCCAGACGTTCCCAGCAGACCCTCGTGACACGTTTGGGCCTGCCTGGTCTGCCCGGCATCCTCCCCCACCATCTGAGCCAACTCATCACCAGGTAGTGGTCAGTTGACAGCTTCGCCCCTCTCTTCACCTGAGTGTCCAAGACATGCGGCCACAGGTCAGATGAAACAACAACAAAGTCGATCATCGAGCTGCGGCCTAAGGTATCCTGGTGCCAAGAGCACATATGGACACCTTTATGTCTGAACATGGTGTTCATTATGGACAATCCATGACTGGCCCAGAAGTACAATAACAAAACACCACTTGAATTCAGATCAGGGGGGCCGTTCCTCCCAACCACACCTCTCCAGGTCTCATTGTCGTTGCCCACATGGGTGTTAAAGTCCCCCAGCAGAACAAGGGAGTCACCGGAAGGAGCGCTTTCCAGCACCCTCTCCAAGGTCTCCAAAAAGGGTGGGTAGTCTGAACTGTAGTTTGGTGCATAAGCACAGACCACAGTCAGAACCCGTCCCCCCACACGTAGGTGGAGGGAGGCTACCCTCTCATTCACTGGGGTAAACCCCAACGTACAGGCACCAAGATGGGGGGGCAACTAGTATGCCCACCCCTGCTCGGCGCCTCTCAGTGGGAGCAACTCCAGAGTGGTAGAAAGTCCAACCCCTCTCAAGGAAACCGGTTCCAGAGCCAGAGCCACGCGTTGAGGTGAGTCCAACTGTATCTAGTCGGAACCTCTCAACCTCACACCAACTCAGGCTCCTTACCCACCAGAGAGGTGACATTCCATGTGCCAAGAGCCAGCTTCTGTAGCCGAGGATCAGACCGCCAAGGTCCCCGCCCTCGACTACCACCCGTCACACACTGCACCCGACCCCTTTGGCCCCTCCCACGAGTGGTGAGCCCATGGGAAGGGGGACCCATGTTTCCTCTTCTGGTTTTTCCCGGCCGGGCTACATGGGTGAAAGCCCGGCCACCAGGCGCTCGCCAACGTGCCTCACGTCCAGGCCTGGCTCCAGAGGGGGGCCCCGGTGACCCACGTCCGGGCGAGGAAACACGGTTTCCATTTATATAATTCATCATAAGAGGTCTTCGGGCTGTTCTCTGTCTGATCTCTCACCTAGGACCTGTTTGCCATGGGTGACCCTACCAGAGGCAGAAAGCCTCAGACAACTTAGCTCCTAGGATTATTGAGACACTCAAACCCCTCCACCACGGTAAGGTGGCAGCCCAGGGAGAGGGAGTTATCTATGTGTCTGCTCTTTCTTTAAATGTTGTTAAAAATCTATTCAAAAAAAGGAATAGAATAGTTTAGATTATCTTTGTCCGACACTGAAATTTGTTTACTGGTCTGAAACATTTAAGTGACAAAAGAAAAAAACAACAGAAATCCAAGTCTTTTCAATTAACCACAGCTGAGGTGAGAAAAGAATGAAGGTTTAAGTGTTAAATAAACAGTAAAATCAGCCAAACACCAATCTGAGTCATGCATATTTTACTGTTTCAGGGTGAAGCTTTAAACTGTTTTTCAAATTGTTGTAATTTATGAAATAAAGTCACAAATACTCATGTGCATCATTAGAAAATTTGGGTTAAAGCTGCTTGTTTGTAACTCAGGTGTGTGTTTTAAACATTTTTATAATGCATCAGATTTATAAAATGGAACCTTCTAAAAACAAACAAAAACCAAGATGCAGTAACCAGAACAAATTATTCTACTAAAGAATCCAGGGTTGCATCTTTTGTAATTACTGTAACTTAGCAACAGGCAAAACCTGATTGAACTAAATGCTTAAAAACATCTGAATGTTATTACATTTTTCACACAAAGGAAAAGATGAAAACTTCTGAAACTCCGTACCGTGAGGTGTTGAAGCGAAATCTGGAAGAGTTTACAGCCGAGGTAAAACGCAGCTTTCCTCATTTACTCATTAAGGTTCAAATGTATTCAGTTTAATGAGATTTTTATTAAAATGAACAAAACAACAATTCCATTCCATAAATGTTAATATGTTGATGAGTTAATAACATAAAAGGTGATTGCAAACCCTAAAACAACTTAAAGACACAATTCTAACTGACAGTTGCTTTACTTTCATCAATTCAAATAAAACACACGTATCTGCTGAAACAATCCTGGTAAAATCTTTAGGCATCACTGATACAAACAAACAGCTAAAAATGTCCTCGAAAAGGTTTATTTTTTATTTTATTTTATTTTATTGTATTTTTTTTTTGTTGTAAAAGATTCTATCAGTTGACAGACGTGGATCAGTGTGGGATATAACGTCTGCTCTCTGAGGACCTATGACATCATTTGTTTTTGTTTTTAAGCCAAAGGTTTTGTTGAGAGATAATTTTCACGCAGCTGCATCTCTGCAAAAAACATAAACACCTTCTGGGGTTTGTTGGTGTTTTTGATGTTGGTAAATAAAAAAGGAAAGAGATAGTTTTGATTTTATGAAGATTTAAAGAGCAAGTCACTCCAAATCAACATTTTTTTTCCTGAAAAACTATATAAATGAGTGTCTGATCGTGCTGCAGACACGTGTAGTCAGTAATTCTGCACTTTAGTGTATTTTAATTAAAATTTAAATATTCTGCCTAAAACTGTCAGTGTTGCACCGTCGTCAGGTAAAAACTCAGCACTGCATTTGAATTTAAATCTGCCATCGCTATTGGCTAAGAGGTACACTATGATGATAGATGGTACATTATGATGTCACAATGTCGTGAGTGTGTGTATTTGTTAGCGGCTCCACCCTCTCGGTCTGCTAGGCAACAGCATTTGTTGCATTTTTCAAACAGGAAGTGGGAGTTGAGTAAGAATCTGGTAGAGGGTGACTTGCTCTTTAACTCATTTGGTGAGTAACCCTAACCCTCATTTTCTGAAGATGAAGAAGGAAGAAGAGGAGACTGAAGGTGAAGGCGAAGAACTGCTCACCTGTTCCGGTCAGGATGATTCAGGTACAGCATCAGTGACCAAACAGTCCATCGTCCATCGTCCAAAAGAAAGAAAGCTTTTATGTGTCAGGACATCAAAAACATCCCCAGCAGGTTACACACACACACACACACACACACACACACACACACACACACACACACACACACACACACACACACACACACACACACACACACACACACACACACACACACACACACACACACACACACACACACACACACACACATTCTCTCTCTCTCCCAGAACTAGGCGAGAGAAGACAATAATAACTGCGTGGCACAGCTGCTGAATTAGGTTCTGTGGATTTGGTGGTGTGGTGTCGTTCATCTGAAGCAGGATTCACAGAAAAGACAAGCAGCCAATGATCTAAACATTGTCCTGAAACATAAAACCTGAGACCTGAAATAGTGTAGACTTTGTTGTCTCTGATTCTGTGAATGCTGGAGTTTTCTGGGATTTTCAGGTGACAGTGGGAGCACAACTTCTGACATGTTACCTCAAACCAGCAGCTCTTCAGTTCCCCCTTCAGCCCTCAACACGCCTGTGGATTTCTGTGTTCACATACAGTAGGTTCTGTTCTGGAGGTTTAAGCTGGACCTTCATTTTGCTTCACCACACCAACATCTGCTGTGTTTGTGTGCAGATCTGTTACCTCTCGTGTGAACCTTGTCTGCGAGTTAGACCTTAAGCACATCTGCAACAACACCTGGAACGCGGAGTACAGCTCACAGGTACCAGCACCTTTTCCAGAGCCTGGACACCTGAAGGTGGTGTGGAACCTGAGGTTTACAGCCTGATCTTGAACACTGATTGTTGCTTCACTCTCTCAAGGTGTTGACTCTGCAGCTCCGTAGGCCCAGGGCCACAGCGAGGATCTTCAGAAACGGGAAGCTTATTTGCATGGGAGCCCAGAGGTCTGTGTGGAGCCCAGAGCTGAACCAGAAGATTGGGCTCCTGGACAGTAAACATGTCTCTGTTGATCTGTTTTGGCAGTGTTGAAGATTCTCACTTAGCAGCCCGGAGGTTCGCCCGGATTGTGCAGAAGCACGGCTTCAACGTTCGCTTCCACAATTTTAGAATCTCAAACATGGTGGCTACTAGCAGCTTCTTTCCAGTGAGTTTGGATCAACTTCACAACGCCCACAGAGAGCACAGCAGGTCAGAAAACACACGGATGAGTCATACTTTCTTTCCATTTCTGGATTTTAGGCACCTTTGTGGTAAAACCAAACCTTTGAAACTATATTTTTTAAAGGTGTTATTTTTTTTTAACCATAACTGGCTGAACTCTGGCTGAGTTAAGTTGTTGATCCCAATTCTGCAGATTTCTCCACAGCCATGATCAGGGGATTTCTAATTGTCTGAAGTTTAAGATGGACATGGGAATTACTGCAAAAATCTTTCCCACTGGGAATGCAATCCTGCTTGGTACGTATTGTGATGACTGACTGGGTGGGTTTCACTGACCACAAGTGCAGAACCTGAGCTCATTGTTCTGAGTGGTAGACGGCCATTCTGGTGGGTCCATTTGAAGTTCTGTCACCGTTATGGAGGTTGTAGGTAACACCAGCAAAGGTTGAGTGGTTTAATGGTGGGTTTGGATTCTGGAGTCAGTCTGTTTAATTATGTTATGAGCGAGCCAAACCCAGAGCTTCCAGGAACCTTTGAGAGGCTTTACCATGGCTCTTAGGCCTAGTCCACACGCAGCCGGGTTTTTTTTAAACGAATATCCGCCCCTCCAAAAACTTGCATCCACACCACCTCGTTTTAAAGAAAAACTCTGTCCACACGTACCCGGATAAATACGTTGTTAAGGACATGCCAGACCTGTAGGTGGCAGTACTTCCCCCGTTCTTAACCTCGTCCTTCGTCTGTGGTCTTCTGCAAGGAGCAGTAATTCCGCTTGCAAAAACAAACAAGCAAAAAGCGCTTGGACAATTGATAAAGCGAGCGCAGCTCTGAGGGCATCCATGCTGTCGGCTAGTGTAAACACAGGTCACACAAGTGATGTCAGCATTTTTTTGTCGCGGAAAGTGACGTTGCGGACCTTAAAACTCCGGTTTTGTCCGTCCACACGCAGACACCCAAAACGGAGAAAATGCAGATCTTCACTTTGGCCGGAGTTTTTAAAAAGATCCGTTTTCGTGTGGATGACAGGCCAAAACGTAGAAGAATATCTACATTTTGGCAGATCCCCGGCTACGTGTGGACAGGGCCTAGTTTAGTGTCTCAGACTCTGATTCCTCTGTTTGACTTGTTTCTTCTGGATCAGACTGGTTCTGTTGTTGGTTCCTGTTCAGTGTAGTCCTCTTTATGTCCCTGTTGTAGGTCCAGTAATGCTTTGAGAGGTCACTAGAAAGTTAAATTGTATGTGCCTGGGAATTATTTTTTAGTGATGATTTCTTGTGATTATTTCACTATTCTCAGAATAAATCTGTTGTTTTGTTTGTGTTAGTGTTTTGAAACATGTTTTTATTTGATTAGCCATGGCATACTAAAGGCTTTTTAACTATTAAAAAAACATCAAAAATGTATGGAGGATGTGAAGCGGTGGTGAGTACATCCGGTGCTCTCTGGAACTCTCTCCCCCTGAGCCTGAGATCAGTGAACTCGGTGGTCTCCTTTAAAAAGCAGCTGAAAACTCACCTGTTCATGCTGGTTTTTGTGTGACCTTCATCACCCTCTCCTTGTTCTGCTCTCCCTACCTATTCCACCTTCCTCAGGATCCACTGATTTCCCTCTTTCCTATTCACTCTTTCTCTTTCTTTACATTTTTTAATCACAAATGTCCTTTTTTGTTCATTTTAAATATATTTTTAATCATTTTCTAAATTCTTTTTTATATTTTACATTTTTTTGTTTTTGTGAAGCGCCTCATGATTTTTATCTCGAGAGGCGCTATATTTCTTCTTCTTCTTCTTCTTCTTCTTCTTCTTCTTCTTCTTCTTCTTCTTCTTCTTCTTCAGCATTACAAAAAAAAGAGAGAAAAGGATCTGAGGTCCTCAGGAGGATGAAAAACTTTAACATTCCATGGTTAATCAAATAAAAACATGTCTACTGGTTTCATGTTGGCCTTCTTTAGGACAAGAACTGTTGTTTTGTTATTTTGTTTGTTTGAATTTGGCTATTGATTCTGTTCAAACTCCTACAGAATCTATAGAAGTATTTATTTAATGTTGTTATTTCTGGTAAACTTAATTATTATTAGCTTTAGCAGAATTCAGCTGACTGAAAACAACTGATGAGTTTTTTAGCTGGTGCCAGTAGTCTACAGGGAACTGCTTAGGTCCTGTAATTAGAACATGAAGACGTTCTTGTAATCCTAAAATAGCTCTGGTTTCAGTTAGAAACGGCTGTCTGAATGTTTTAGAAATTTGTCGTTTATTTGTTGCGATGTTCCTTTAAAGCACTTCTAGGCTGTTTGGGGCTCTGCAGTTTGTTTCTTCTTTCAATTCTTTGCTGACCCAGTCAGGAGGTTCTGTGAGGCGATTTGATAGTTCAGCTTTAAATGATCCGTCATTCCTTTGTAATTATTTGTGACTTCACTTAAATTTTTGTTCAACTTTTAATTTTTCTAAATGAAAGACTAACAAGGCTTTTTTTTATTGTAATTCCAGGAGCTAAAAGTCTAACTGATCTCCATGAAGCAGTCAAGACCCTCTTCAACATCCTGAGTTCCTTCATGACGTTTTAATGCCTGGAAGGCAAAAGTCTTCAGTTTCAAGTTAAATGAACATGTTTCAGTTTTAACAGTGAAGTGACTTCAGCTTTTATTAAAAGGCAAAGTTTAAAAGGTAGATTAAACCATTGTTTTTCTTATTTTAGTTCTGTAGTTCTTCATATTTCCACTAGGTGTCAGCAGAGTTTCAGGTAGAACTCCTTGAAAAGAACTAAATTTTTGAAGCAGATCTGGGCTGATGGGGATTTGTTTCAGGGTCAGGTGTTTTTGTGGATGTTTTTCTTTTCTTTTAATGTTTTGCATCCTTTAAAGGCATGTTTAGTTTATTAGTGACAGGATCTAATTGTCCTGTTCAGAGGGTTAAAAATATAAAGCAAGGCAATATTAATGTAAAATGCAAATGTAATATCAGTTTAATAATTTATAACTTTTACTGAAATATTCCCATATTTTTAGATTAGTTGTTTATTTGTTTAGTTTGTACGTGTTTTAATTAGGATTAAAATGTGCTGTCCCAAGCAGACGGCCTCTGAGGAGCTGCTAAGTGAAGTTTGGACTGGGTGAAACCACCCAAAGTCCAGACTGTTTTATTTTAGAATATTGTTTGGAGTTTAGGAGGCTTTTAACCCAGTTCAAAGCAACGTTTCCTCTTTAAGTGAAACCTGCTTTGAAGGAAAGACAGAAAGTGTAACTTCATCCTGCAGCCTGAACTGGTTACACTCTGCAGGGTCTGTGACCTGCTGACCAGTGAACTGAAAGCCTTCCTGTGGTTTCTCCTGGGCTGCAGCAGGAAGTGAAGTCATCTAGATGTGTCATGATGGGTTCTGAATTATGGAGGCGCTTCCTCTCCCGTGGAAATTCAGCTCTCACTTTCTCCACATGGACAACTCGTTCTGTCCTGCTTTTTCCTGCTTTCATCTGTTTTCCTCGTCTTCTATAGGGAGCCCAAGCCACGCCCATCTACCTCTGGTCCACGAGTCCCCTACAGCCAAAAATAAAATGAATGCAAGTCTATGGAGCAACACATTTTATTTTCAGATCCCATTTGAATATGCCATAGATTTCACATAAGATGTCTGCAAATTGTAAAGACACACTATGAGGCCAGGAAAGCGCTTATTTTCGACAGGCGACAAAAGATAATTTTGGTTTTGTGTGAAAAAATTTAGTGGACTCCAACTGTTTGTCTCACCAAATTTACATCATCAAATCAGACAAGGACAACAGGAAGGGGAAATGGTTTAGCGAGCTCTAAAATCCTTCTTCCAAGACGACAGAAGGAGCGTTAAACGTGGAGAAAACCACTCTAGACCTGGCCGTGTGGTAAGTAGCTGCTACGCTGGGGAGAGGTGACTCTGCAAATTTGTCTTTTTAATTACACATTTTTACAAGCAAATACATCTCATAATACGTAACAGATATAGTAGAAACACACATGATTACATTTTCATTTAAATAGAAGTACAGCATAAGTGTGCTTCAGGGTGTAAGGCAAAGCTTTACAAACTTTTATAGCCCCATTCGCTTATTCTTTTTTTTTTTTTAGTTCAGGTGAACTCTGAGCCGACCAGAAGGGGAGGACACTTGGCTCTCTACTAATTACCATTTATAAATTTGTGCACATCTAAGCACTCTAAGAATGTGACATTTACCTGGACGCCACCTCATCACTGCAGGTGTTTTCTACAAACATCTTAGGTGTGTTCTTGCTGTGTCGTTCTAATTCCATGCTGTCGATCTTTTTAAAACACAGGAACATTTTCGTTACCTGTTTTGTCGCTACGTTTCGTCTGCGGCTGCAGACTTCCTCAGGCTGACGCTGATGGTGGTGTCACTTCCTTCTCCGTTTATCCGCGGTCAGCAGAGGACGTTGTCGCCCTCTGCTGCCCGCTCTCCCCTCTCCGACGATGCAGTCCCATGCGCGGTCTAACGTGTAAACTCCATCGTCCCTGTTCATGGTCCCACATCCACGTCTCCTTATCTTGATTGCTTCTTTTATCCATCTTTTGTATTTTTGTTGTTCGGTGTTTACGATCCGTGTGTTGTCCCAGTCCATTACATGGTTTTATGCAGTGATCTGTTACGGCTGACTTCTTTATTGTGCTTTCTGCTTCTTCTTTTGCTGCTCTTGTGTGTTTTCGACTTGCCTCTTTCTCACACTCCTTTCTATGTTCTATTGTTCGTGTGTTGAGTTGGCGTCCGGTTTCTCTTATGTATGTTTCATTGCAGAGATTGCATGGGATTTCGTAAACGACTCCACATTTAAGTCCAGCTGATATTTTGTCTTTTGGGTGCACTAGTCTGTTTCTAACTGTTGTGTATGGTTTTGTTGGTGTGTTTATGTTGTGTTTTTTCATTGTTGCTCTTATTTTTCCTGTTATGCCTCTGATGTATGGTAGGGTTATCACTGGTTTTGGTTCTTGTCTTTCTGGATATCTGGTTCTTTGCTTAGGTTGTTCTTTTCTTTCTGTTTTTGTTTGTCGTTTTCCTTTGTTTATTGTCCATGTCGGGTATCTGCAGGTCTTTAAAGCATGTTGTATGTGTTTGTCCTCTTGTTTACGGTCTCTCTTTTCTGTTATTATGTTTGTTCGGTGATATAGTACTCGGATTGCTGACATTTTGTGTATGGTGGGGTGGTCTGTGTGTGTTGGTTTCCTGTATGTGTTTATGTTTAGGATCCCGTCGGTCTGCCTAGTGATTTTCATATCCATAAATGCTATGCTGCCTTCTTTTTCCATCTCATAAGTGAATTTGATGTTGCCTGTGTCATCAATGTTGTTTAAGTGTTGTGTTCATGTTTCTGTTTGTCCTTTCGGTATGATTTCCAGTTTGTCGTCTACGTAGCGTTTCCATAGTTTTATTTTGCAGTTTGGGGGGGCGGTGGCTATGGCTTTTTGTTTTAGGTCTTCCATGAAAAACTCGCACAGGGTGGCTGATAACGGGTTACCCTTGGCGAAGCCTTCCAGTTGTTTGTATATTGCGTTGTCGTATGTGAAGTAAGTGGAGTTAGCTATCAGTCCTATCAGTTGTGCAATGTCGTCTGCTGTGAGGTTTGTTCTTTTGTGTAAAGTCTTGTCTTGTCTGATTCTGTTAACTACTATGTCTACGGTTTTTTGGGTTGTTGTTGTTGTGAACAGGGATGTGACGTCGTGTGAGATGAGTATGTCGTTGTCTTCTATTGTGATCTCCTTTAGTTCTTTTGCCAGTTCTATGCTGTTTTTGCAGTGTTGATCTGTCTTTCCTAATAACGGGCTGATGATTTTGCTGATATCTCTTGCCATGTTGTATGTTGGTGTACCTATGCTATCAACTATTGGTCTAAGTGGGGTGTTTTGTTTGTGTATTTTTGGCGTTCCATAGATTCTTGGTGTTATGTTTGCCGTAGGAATCCAATGTTTGTACATTTTTTCTGTTATTTAGCCTTTGTCTTGTAGTGGCTTCAGTAATTTTTTCATGTTTTTCTTAATGTTCTCTGTTGGGTCTTTTTCTACAAGGTGAGTGGTTGGTGAGGTACAGGCAGTCATTTCATTTCTACATGCTGATAGGACAATAGAGGTCAGCATGTTTGTTTCTGATCACAACTTCTACGTCTCCAACTCCCAACCCAAGATTAAGAACCGAATGAGCTTCTTGGATGAGAGGTGTTTTGTCTTCATTTAGAAAAGTCCAGTTGTTCCAATAAAGATTATCGTGTCCTGGATGACTAAGAATCTACATCAGTGGAATGAATGAATGAATAAAGACCAAATGGGAGGAAACTTTGCGTGAACTAATTTACAGAATCTCAATGAAATGACCTGGATGATGATGATGATGATGATGATGATGATGTGTGTGTGAGATAATGAGTCCTATTTAACAGTTGGCAGAGGTTTAGTTTTAGGTTTAGTTAGTGGAGATTATTTATTAGTTGTCTTAATTAAGAAAGATGCAGCTCATAAAACTCATCTTTATTGTGTTCCATGTATTCACCCATGAATCATGCGTTTCATCAGATTTTAGGTTTAGTAGGATTTTCACTGATTTTCGTAAAATGGAATTGGTGAAGAAAGTGAAATAAAAATTTCAGGCTTTTATTGAATCTGTTCTCTGAGGACTCTGTGGTTAGTTCAAACAGATGGTTACATTTGAGGTAATGTTCAGCAAAATGCTTTTGTAAACTGCATCCTTTAATCATTAGCACACATGGACTTAGATTAATCAAATGCCTGAGCTGGATCCGATCATCTGAATGGAAACACTTCAGATTTGGTGTTTTTGATTTAAAACAAAGCCTGTTGACTTAAAGACGAAACTTCCAAACTTAATGATCCAAGAGCTGAAACAAAACTAGGAAAATGACTAAAATGTTGACCTTTAATGTTGAACATGTCCAATTATTCATGAGGAAAAGAAACAGTTTGAACCCAAAACGGTTGTCCCAGTTTCTGACAACTCTCTGCAGAAATGAGGTCCAGATGTTTTGATTTAAAAGTTTGGTTCACACATTTTACAGTAAATTCCTTGTTTCTGAGTTGATGTCTGCATGCTTCACTCATGTTTTTTAGGTTTCCTGTTTGATTTGATTGACAGATTATGTTTCCGGGTCTGGGTCTTTCACAGTTTGCTGAGTGTTCGAAAGCTCATCGCTTTTTCCTGAGAGTTTTCCTGCTCTTTGGAAGTGACAGGAAGAAGTCACATGCTTGCAGGAGGTAACTATAGGTCATGAGAATGACACACACACACAACGGTTTCAGACACCAGAAACAAATAATTTACGACTCTAACTAAGGCGGACCAAAGGTCTCACCAGGAAGCTGCTTACTATCACAGAAACAAAAACAGAGATTTGCTTTGATCTGAAAATAAAAGGTTAGCAATACTTCATACAGCCCAGTACTCACAGAGGTATGTACGAGTGTAACCCGTACACCTGTAAGTACTGTGTACATTGCCCTGTAAATTCATCAGAATGTGTCTAAAAACCCAGAACAGGTTTATCACTTTCTTTTATCCCTTTGAGGTGCTACAGCTGTAATTAAACTCTTTTATTAAAATCTTTTCTTAGTGAACGCTTAGTCAACTTTTCCACTTTGTCTGGATCCAAATGCACCTGTACGAAGAGGAAGCCTCAGGAAGGAACAGAACAGAGAGATCTGAA